GAATTGCTAAAAAGTCTTTTAGAGGCATTCATGGTCCACAGAGGATGAATTGTATTCCTTTTCATCACAGAAGTTTAATTTGTCCAGTTCTTTGGTTTAGATTAGCATTTGCTAACTTTCGCTAAGTGCTAATCATTGACAGTATATAATTAGTGGACTTCCAGATCTGTGAAGTGAAGCCAATGTCTGCAGCGTCTTAAAAGCCTTTCTAATGGCTAGTAGGGGGGCAGCTCCAAGGGCTTCAAAAAAGATAGAACTAAACCTTGTGGAGAAACAATCCTACTTCTCACCTGATTTATTATATCGGCAAACAGTTTCCAGAAGCTGTCAGTTTATTAATGGTTAGTATGCTAACCATTAATAAAAAAATACCCAGTAACGAATTATGCATTCATGGCGTCCATGGGGATGTAGATGCTCGGTGGGTTTGCTAAGCACTGAAATAATTGTCCCCCATCCTGATGAAAACACCCATGGTTCCTGCATAAGTGTGTAGATGTGCATGTCCATGAACATGCGATAGGCTGCAGGGTCCCTGTTTGGAGGTTTGCAAATATGGTCACCTTTCTCTACTATGACTGTGTTTTTACAATATCTCGTGAACCCTTGGAGGGGTCCCGACCCTCAGGCTGACCTTGAAGATAAAATATTTTTAGAGAGAGTATGAAAACTAGTCTTTGCAGGTGGCAGACAGACACTTAAGTAAGTAGTGGAGACAGTAGTGGAGTCAAATGTTGGTGAACACAGACAGAGGAAGGTGAGAGGCCAGGGAGAGGCTGCCTCCTTTTGACCTCGAAAAGGAATTTATTACTCTCCCAGACACTTTTAGATAATGCCATCAGGGATTAGAGCAGAAGGGGGGGCCGTTGCAGATTTACTGTCAGTGGTTGTTTTCTGACCCTGGGGGAATCCAGCTGGGTTTCATGGTGTCTAAAATCTGCTCTGTCCCCTTTCACTTGTTCATGGGAGTTATTTATCACTTTCCTATGTCCTCTGCCTGTTTTAAATCAATCAAACGTCATTTAGTCTTTATTGTCTTTTTGTCTGATATTAGTCTTTTCAAATACTCTATCACAGATTTTCTAAATCTCATTTCTTTCTCTGACCTTGAACGTCATTATTGATTGCTTTCCTAAAGGGCATGCAATATTTATTCACAGTGTTTTATGTCACAGTGTGCTTTATTGTTTCCGCAGTAAGGTGAAAGAGACTGCTAAGCTTTTCATTTTCTGGTTTTTCGGAGCATCATAGCAGAGTGGGCAAAGACTCTCTCTGAGTCTTTCACACTGATAATCCTCTTATTCTTCCGTGCCGATGCACACAGAAACACTGTCACACATAAATGCACTAATGTGAGCCCACTTTAACACACTAACTCGAAAAAGCATTATATTTTTTACTATTATGGTGGGTTTTTAATTCCTGGAAGTCTTTAGTTGTAACCGAGCGTCGCTGCCTGCCTCCTCCACCTCTGAAATAAGATTCTTGTCCTCAAGGCAGAAATTTGCCATCTCCATCTGGGAGTCACTAATGTATTCACTCATATCTTTAATACTCTGCTGCCACTCCCAGCTCTGCTCCGGTTTAACTATGCAGGAACTCAACCTTAAAACTTAAAATCCTGTCTGTGCCCTCCCCAGGTATGACTTTGCCCCAGCAGGGGTTTGCAGGATGTATGTGTGTGTGTGTGTATGCATTGAAAGGCAGTTATTGAGCGGCAGAGAGCCAAGACAGCTGAGTAGCTCCTGGCTCGGTGCTGCAGACGTCTTCTGAAAGCCTTGACCCACTTCCAAGTCTCCTCCTCCCCCCTGCTCACCCAAACATGCTGCATACTGAAGCAGCTCTGCTACAATCTGCTGAGCTACAGTGGAGCGCTGCATGCAGATGCCGGGAAGAGTGGGTGTGTCTGTCTAATAAATAAATTGTATGTGTGTCTGTATGTGCTGCAAGGTTATATGTGTGTGCATGTGCGTAGTTGTGTGTGTGCAGTAGGTGCAAGACCTAGGGGCAAAGTCATGGAGAGTTGCTGTTTCTGCTGAATATATTAATGCGTCCTTCACTAGTTGTTACTGTACCAACCAGCCACAAATAGGACAGGAAGGGGAGACATAGCTGCACAGATTTGGGTCAGATTTAAGTCTTTGCAGAACAATTCTGCTACACATTGATTAATCTGATGATCATTTTCTCGAGGTGACGTCTTCCAGTGTCCTGTTTTGTCTAACCCCCAGTCCCAAACGATAGAAAACAAATTATATTTAATGTACTGTCAAATAAGACAAAGAAAAGCGGCAAATCCTCACAAATGAGCTGCAGTCAAGACCACCTTTGAGTCCAATACAGAGACAAGAACTAGTCGAGAAAGAGTCTAAACAGGTTCGAATCCAAACCAAGACAGAAAAAAAAGAATCTTTTTCTATTGCCAATTAAGATGAGTTTTGGCATCCGGACCTACGATTGCAAGTGACATTGATTGGCCGCCTGGTACCCATAGTTAGGCAACAAGGTAACCATGGTTACCAGGCGGCCAATGTCAGTGCCCATTCTAGATGGATTTGGAATTAAACCAAAACCCGTTTTCTGAACGAGAGTGTTTGATCAATGGTTTTGTTCTGAAGGAGAAAGTTACTTGATGGACTCCATTGAGACCAACTAGAATATTTGGCGAGACCAATGGCCGATTTAGAGAGAAGTCCGAGAGTAAATAAATTAATATTGATGAAGATCGTAAAAAAACTGATTCCTCTTTGGTTTCTTCAACAAGCCAAACCTTTACGACAGCACAGAAGAAATTTGAATCATACAAAATGTAAATAGCAGGAAATTGGGATGAGGACAAAGTAAATTATTCTGCTCCAGCCTGTTAAGCCGTGCACATTTTCAGAGCAAACCGGCCTGGATTTAAGCTTCCCTGAGCAGGGACGAGGCCAGACGGCTGGCTGATGGGAGGAAAGCTCCACTGGGAAGGAGTGGAGACACTCACTTAGTCATGGCCTTTAGACACAGAGATTTGTACAGATTACAAACAAGCACATACACGCCTGCAAGCACGCACACATACAGAAAATGCTTTAACCGAAGGGATTAGCACAGATTTTGATTTATGGCCACATGCAGACCTAAATCTACCTACTTAACCACATAAACAAATACATGAAGACATAATGTTTACAAACTAAAGTTATAATGAAAATTCACAGATAGAGACTAATCAGTAGGAAAAGTGAGTACCTGCTTTACTCTGCTGTGTTTCTCTACCTGACATGTCTGAGTTACATCATAACATCCTCTTTCTTCAGATGTCATTCACATCATCTATCATCACTTTCCAGGAAATAACCTTTACTCATCTGTTTTTTTATCATTAAGTATGTGCAGCAGTCTGTGTCATTTGCATTGTACTAAAAGTGATCTCCACACACGCATTTTGTTGCCATATTATCTTCCTCCGTCTGTCTCCGACTCTTCGTTATCCTTCCTCCACTCTGTCAGCATCTGATGTCTATCAGGCTGACGTCACTCTGGACTTTTTAGAGCAGCTTGCTATTGAACTCTGGTGACAGATGGACCGACCAGACAGATGAACACGTCTGCTGGTGCGCAGTATCAGACTGTCTGCACAAACAGTAGATTGAATCAGGGACTTTAAAGCTGCTATTGATAAATACAACCTGGGAAAATATAATCTCAACCACACAGGTTCATTTTCAGAACAGCAAAAAACATCATGCTGCTGCTTGATCCTGGAGGACTGCAGACGTTTGGTTTTAAATTTAGGCTTAACTGAGATTTCAAAAAGTTTGCTTTCTGTAAGCAAATATAAACTATACTGTTTTTCTAACCTCAACATTTGCTACGACTCAACATGATGTTAAGTTAGTATTCAACCCTGAAAGTGAAGCTAGCAAGCTAGGCTAACTAGCCTTCACTCAGAAAGTGGAAGTTAGCCTAGCTTGCTATCGTTAGCACTGATACCCATTAGTTAGCGTTAGACATTAGCTACTTTTTGTCAATGATATATGTACACCTGCTGAGTCATTGATAGCTTCTGCAGATTCAGTGTTTGTCCCGCATTATTTAAAGGAGGGTGGATAGTTACCTTTGGTTAGCTCTTTCAAGTCAATGCGGAATGAGTGTAAGGATGGATTAGTTAGCTGTTTGGATGCGGTTGTTGTGCATGACAAGTTGCTTTGTAGTGATGTCCGTGTGGGTTGTTGGTGTGTGGGCTCGATGATTTTGGCTGCTGCATTGTTGTGTCTTTGTTTGCCATTACTGTGTTTTTTTTAAGGCCCAGTCATACTTGTGTTTTGATGTGATCTCATTTGGTTCCACCTCAGTTGGGGTGGCGAGTGATAAATCCACAAAGGGACTTATTATCACCATGAAAACTATAATTTGGGGCCCCGCAGGGTGTCATTAGGACGGTTAAAGAATGGTTTAAAGAGTGCAGTAAAACATAATGTTCTGTCAACACAAAAACAACTTCATCTGGTGTGCACTTTTTAGTGCAGAATGAGGGTGTTGTGTCACTGTTTTCTGTTTTTTCTTCCCACCTAAATGTTTTAATATGTTATTATTAGTGTTGAAAATAATAACAAAATAAACTGTTTATTAAAAGACAATTAATTAGTTAATTAAGGTTTTTATAAAGCAAATTGTTTCTGGCTCCAGCTTTTCAACAGTGAGGATGTGATGATTTTGTTAATTATTGTATTATTGGGACATATTTTGATATTTATAATAGGTTTAACAATAAAGAGAATCAATAATTAATGGACTAATAAGTATACAATAATTAGTTGCAGTATGACGTGAAGATCCTGTTGTCTCATACATCACTTGCATATTTCTGACTTCCTCTTTTGTTTCTGTTGTCTGGATTTGAATGTGTCAAATGTTCAGTGTCGATCTAAAAGCGCAATGACATGATCCTCTAATGCTCATTAAAAAAGTGTTAATTCATTTTAAAATCGCTCACTTATCTCTCTCCGTCTCTTAAGGTGTTGTGAGTGCAGCGCATCGCTGTCCCACTGGTATTATGAAAAAGATGGACGGCTCTTCTGCAAGAAAGACTACTGGGCCAAATTTGGGGAGTTGTGCCACGGCTGCAACGACCCAATCACCACCGGCCTCATCATGGTAAGAGGATCCATCCACTGACAATCACCTCTCATCACTTCCCTGGTTCTTTGTTTGCTGATAAACCTCAAGTTACAGCACACACATACTGTACATGCAAACACACACCTGAGTCCACACATTTACAGCCTCACCGGTTTGTGTGTGCCAACATACGAACATGCACGTAGGATCTGTGCCAGACCTGTAACTGACCCCGATGCCTTTCGCTGCTTAGTCAGATTGTCTTACAGACCACCAGTGAAAGTTGGAGCTGTTGTTGTGACACAAGAGAGGAGAGAGGTTCATGTGCAGAATAGATGTGGTCACGGCACCGGAAAGCAGATAAACAATAGACTGAGCCTCTGCTGATAAGTGCTGCTGCATTATAGAAAAGACAAGATAACAGCATCAAAGGAGAGTTGTGTCTATTTGTTGATTAGTGATGGAATCACACACATCCAAAGCTAGAAGAAACTAATTAATACTGTATGTTGGTGTAATAAAATATCTTGTCTTTATATGTCTTGGGGCCCTTTTTTTCCTGCCGGCACAAAGCTCAGCACCGGCACAAATGCAAGTGCAAATTTCATCGGCCAGGAGTCTATTTTTTGTGCCTGTTTGGTAATCTCCTGGCTCCAAATGGCTCCAACCTTTGCTGAGGTGGTTTGAAGAGGTGCAGCTGAGGCTGTGTTAATGGTGGTTAGGAGGGGCAGAGCAATTTGTACACTCTTTTTGACACAAAACAGGCTTGCTTTTCTGCCTGCTTAGTACAAAGGCAAGGCCATTTTAGGTGTAGTTTGCAGAGGCACACACACCTCTCCAAATCAATAAACTGAATACTGAATGTTTTGCAATTAACGTCAACTTAGGCTTTATTAATTTGTGATGGGCATTTTTCTGTTCTGCCATTTTAAAGATAAAACAATGAATCAGTTAATTCAGAGAATGATCAGCAGATTCATTCATAATGAAAATAACCCGTAGTTGTAGACCTTCCGCGTTTTTTATTGTGTGTTTTTCCGAGTTTTCCAGAGCAACTAGACCATGCTGCAGGTTTTACATACTCACTACCTGCAAAAGGAAGCTTTTTGCATAAGCTGGTGGGTGTATAATAAAGTACATATTCCTCCCTGCTCATCCATCACTGGTAAACTTCACAGAGTTGGTTTTGATAATCCTTGTCGTATTCACACAGTGAGTAAAATAAGAATTATCAGCCGCGGCAGCAGATGATATACAGACTGTGTCAACTGTGTGTGGAAATATGTGAGGCTCATATTCTAGAAAACTAATGCCTGTATACTTTGCACAAAGCTTATATGAGGATAAGTAATCCTTTGCATTTCATAAGTGTCATTAGTGGCTGACAGTAAAATGTTTGCAAAAAAGTGCTTTTTGAAGTAAGTGGGATTTAACTTAAATTAACTCAATTTGTGTTTAAATTGTGCATACTTATGAGCATTTAACTTCCATTTTTAGGTCTCATTTGATACAAAATGTACTCCTACATTTAAATTTCCTTTTAGATGATTTTAATGAAGAAACATATGGTAGCTACAATATGTTTGGTGCCCAGCTGAGGCGATAAAAAGCCACCCAAAACCTGCACTATTAACTAAATCAATAATTCACTGACTGTTGCCGGTCCTTTGATAGCAGAATCCGGTTAGAATAAAAAGCTGAGTTCATTCGTTGCACATAAAGTATCCTCTTTGACACATTTGCCCCCTGGTCAGGTACAGCAGCCAGCAGCTTCTGGCAGGTCATGTGTCATGGCCATGATGAACGGAAATCATTCATGGCTCGGCCTTTCTCTGCAACTCTGAGCGTGTGTGTGTATTTTATCATTTACACTGCCTCCAGACAGTTTGCCCTTTGCTGTGCAATCTCAGTAATGAAACACGTAGGAGACTCTAAAGTGAATTAGGTGGAGAGATGGCTGCACTACTCTTCTTTCTCCTCCTCTGGTTTATTGCTCCTCTTACAGTGCAAATACACTGATTGAATGTCTCTGCTGTTACACTTAAAGTAAATTTGAGATTGGTCAGCCAGTAGGGCTTGAATTGCTCCGTACGTTTGTGCCACACCCAGGAAGAAGAAGAAGTGTACTCCAGTCCTGCAGAGTCACTCTGTGCAGATTAGCAGAAACATAATCCTATTTTAAAAAATCACTGATGCCACTGCACCTGAAAAAGCTTCTGTCGCAGGCAGTGAAAACATTTTGAGCTCCATGATGCAGCGATGACTCAGGGTCTGCAGACAGAAAGATTGAACTGATGGTCAGCCAGACAGAAACAGTAACTACCACCATACTGCTGCACCTTGCTTTAACCCTTACGTTTTGGAATAGTTTGTGTAAGTAATTATTATTTTATTATTGTGTTTATCCACCCAGAGGTTATATTTTCATTAATCATTGTTTGTCTTTTTGCTTGTTAGTTCACAGGATTGAGATTGAGAAAGTAGGCAGGATGTGAACTTTGTCTGAAGCGCTCTCTGCTCATCAAATTACTGAACTGTTGATGTTCGTGATTTCCATAATTCTGAGCACTTTTGCAGCTTCTCGTCCTTGTTGGTGAGGAAGTGGACCTCAAGGGTGGATTGTGTTGTCGACTGCTGTTTCCAACTATCACGCAATATACTAGAGTAACAGAGAATTTTCATACAGTTTTTTTACACTTCATTTTATCGGCCATCGGATACAGATCATTGGAAAAATGCTGAATATCAGCCAGGCCCATAATTGGTCCATCCCTATTTCTTACTGACGGTTATAACCTTATAACACAACAATTAATTACCCACAACTAAGTCTAACAGGGAAAAACACCATGATACACAACAACAATTGTGACAATTTATTTCTTATTTGTGCAATAGAACATTTGAGAAATATCTCTTTTAATGCTTAAATACTTTGAGATGCATGTTTGAGTGTTCGTGTAGTACGAGCCTGCTGGTGTGTGTATGTTTATGTGCAAACAGGTGTGTGTCTGCAGCTTCAGCTCCTGTCAGCACCATCCGCCTTGAGTGAACTAGTAATTCAGGCAGAGGATGTTACTCAGTTATTTACTACCCTTACAGAGACTGATTTATGTGCTGAATACTGAGTTAACTGATGTAATTGGATTTCCTCCCGTACCAGCCCTCCTTCACTCTATCCCTCCATCACACCGCCTACTGACAGATGAATGTGTGGTAATATCAGCCTTCTCCACATTCAGTTCAGAGTCAGTCAGCCTTTCTGCAAACAACTCAGGGCCAAGAGCCAGCTGACCGGAGCAGGGCCAGACATCGACCTAGGCCTGTTGGGTGACCAGAGCTTGGGAGACGTTTCTGGTTTCGTGGTTTCTCACCCTCATTGCGTTATCTCTGCCACAATGCTCTGTGAACATGAGTTCAGGGTTGACCAGCAAGACATTACCATGGCCTTGGGTCAATCTTGCTTTGATTCAACGATTGAGTGATTGAGTGTGATATCTAAGGCTGAGCCAGTCAAGGTCCTAGGCTAATCTGTGACTGTCACAGCTTTCTAAAACACAAACATTAAGTCGGAAATCAATTTTACCGTTATAGATGCAACTACATCAGTACACGGACCCCTACACGGATTGATCTGACCGTACCATGAATGAGTCAATGGTCCAGTTCTAAAGTTATGAATTGGTTGACTGAAGCTTTGCTGCTAACAGCGTCTCATGAAAGATAAAAGGTCAACGCAAGGGTCTCGTAACAAGAGTAATGGTAGTACAGTGTGGATTGCAAGGTTCGATAACGCCAACAAGATTTACCGTGCACTATCAAATATAAAATCTAAAGTTTGGAAGACATTTGAATTCTGTAAGAAGGAATGAAAGTTGAGAATTCTGAATTATTTATTGGAAAAGCAATAAACACAACAACATGTCATTTTGAAATCATACATTTGTCTTAAATTTTTGGGATCTTCTTGGGATTCCCTGGTTTTGTATAAAATATATCTGAAGTATCTGAGAGGAAGCAATGTCACTTTTATAGAACTGGCTTATTGTAATTTAGAATAAAAAATAAAAGAGCTGTATCAGATTGCATTGAATTGTTCCTTATGAAAATACATCAAAGCACATGCATGTAGATACCTATCGGATCATCTTAGAAGGGGGTATACACACCCCTAACTTTCTTCTCCTATTTCCATGGAAATGATGAATCAGTGATTTTGTTGTGAGGCTGTTTAAACATTCACTTTTTCTTTCAGTGCCCAAAACCTATGCAACACAAAATATCTGTTTTCTGTCCCATCAGTTGTTTTGACATTACCAATCATGAATTTTCTGATTTGTTTATTTCCATCATGTTACATAAAAGCTCCTTGTCAGGTGGTTGTGATTTAGCCTTACTGGCATTGTGGCGTCTTGGGTACTTTCTTTGTTTCTTTTTCTCTTTCTTCGTTTCTGAGATTGCAAAACACTTGAAGGTGAAATCCAAGAAGTTTCTGTGAAATCACAAGTGCTTTGTATTGTTTGGGATTTTTCTGGCATTCTGTGAACCCTTATAACCCTGTGTACTATTGTTTTCTGTTTCAGTTGGATCTATATATATACATATGTATTTTTAAATTCATGGTTGAAGAGAAAAGACATTTTCTTACAAATAATAAATGAAAAACATAAAGCAAAGTAAAACATGGACATTAGGGGTGGCATACCAGACCTAGTGAAGTGATACATCATGTTAGGTATTCACTAAGTAATCCCTTATTACTCACCAGTAAAAGCTCTGAAGCTCTGTGCCGGTTAGCAGCTGGTTCAGAGTAAATCATGAACGACTCATGAAGAAAGTGGTCAGTATATTGATTACACATTTTACATTTTTAGGTAACCATTACCTAATGATTCATGTGTCTCCCTGTCAGTTCTCATCACCTACTATATATCCCTGTGTGTACTGTTTGCAGCATTCAACGTTAATGTTTTTTTTCACATGCCTGTTCAGGAAAGTGGCAATTTACTTGGCAATCCTTCTTGTTGAGCTCAGCT